TATGTTGTGGTTGTATGCTACAGTGCTATAGGTCCTGGCAATCCCCACTCATTCCCACTCAAGTCCTTGAGTGTGGCCCCATGATGTTGCCGTGCCTCCCAAAGGGACAGAGTTTGTTTCCTTAGTCCCTGATATGGAACATGTCGTCTTTGGCTTACTCTAAGTCACAGCATGAGAAAGAGTTTGTCTTCTTCGATGTCTGTTGTTTTTATGTCAACTTGATCCAAGCTAAAGTCATTTGAAATGAGGAAGCCTCAGTTGAGAAAAGGCCTTCTTCATAAGATCCAGCTGAGGGCCATGGTCTTAATTAGTGATGGATAGAAGAAAGCCCAGCCCATTGTGGGTGGTGCTATCCCTAGGGAGTGGCCCTGGGTTCTATAAGAAAGAGGCTTAGCAAGCCATGAAGAGCAAGCCAGTAAGTAGCACTCATCCCATCCATGGTCTTTGCATCAGCACTTGCCTCTGGTTCTTGCCCTATTTGAGTTCCTGTCCTGACTTCTTTTAATGATGGACTATGATGTGGAAGTGTAAACCAAATAAACCTTTTCCTCCCAAACTTGCTTTTGGTCATAGTGTTTTATTGTAGCAGTGAAACCCTAACTAAGACAAGTTGGCACCAGGATAGTAGAGTATTGCTGTGATAGACCTGTCTATTTTGTCTTGGGAAGGATTATGGGAGGACTTTGGAACTTTGGGCTAGAAAAGCCATAGAATATTCAAAGGTTAGTGTTTCTGTAGGAGACTAAAAGATAAGAAGTTGAGGAAATTGGAGAAGATGGAGGCCTGGCTTGTGAAGTTTCAGAGGGAAATTTGGAGACTCTGTCGGACCATTTGTTATTTTGAATCAGATTCTTTGGTTATGGTTAGCTGGGGCTGAAGAATTATCTGTGAATAACAAGACTCCAGGACTACTAAAGCTTTGCTTTGCAGAGATACTTGATGCTGGTTGGATAGAACTGAGACCTTAGCAGTAATTAAAAAGAGATCAACATCACTGAAGTGAAATCTTCTGGGAAGTGTTTTCTGAGAGCACAGAGAAGTTATGTTCCAGAGGTGATCAACATTATGCCTCATGCTGGCAGCTGAACTTGGGAATGAGTAAGAGTCACCCAGAGGTACTGGTTTTGAAGGCATGAAGGGGTCATAAAAAGCAGCAAAGGCTTGGAACTCTGAGAGGTCAGGAGAGACTATGGGTGAAGTGGCAGCCTCACTGGCAGTCAAAGGCCCAGGATTGAAGGGGTCATGTGATGTGGGTTTTCCTTCTATATGCTGTGAATATGTTTTACTACCATTGAGTAACAAAGAATCTGCTGTGGCCTATGGCAGGGCAGAATATAGCTAGGTGGTGAAACTAAACTGAATGCATAGAGAAAGAAGGTAGAAATAGGCAGTTACCCCCCAGAAACAGAGGAAGCAAGATGAAACTGTTGCAATGATAAAAGGTACTAAACCATGTGGCTAAACATAGACAAGAATTATGGGTTAATTTAAGTTATAAGAGCTAGTGAATAATAAGCCTGAGCTAATAGGCCAACCAGTTTATAGTTAATGTAGGCCTCTGTGTGTTTCTTTGGGACTGGACAGCTGTGGGACAGGCTGGGAAAACTACTTCTTACAGTCATAAGGAGATTTTGAGACATGGCACCATGAAGAGTTAGGATAGAGCAATAAGGTAGATTATTGTATCTACTTGTAGATTAAAATAGCAACTATCAGTTTTAGATAATTTGCAATGGTATAGATTCTTGTATATTGATACAAATGTAAAATTATATTTTATATTCCTATTTCTATTTAAGATAGATTGTATATTGTTACAAATTCAAAATATATTTGTCATAATGTATATATGTTTTTACTTCTATTTAAAGTATTTTTGTAAAATTATTTTTACCATATTATATATATATGCATATATATGTTTCTACTTTTGTTTAAGAGATTTATATATTGAAGCAAATTAAGGATATTTTTGTTATATTGCACTATATATTTCTACCTTTAATTAAGATATTTTATATATTGTCATAGTTTCAAGATCATTGTCCTTATATTGTATATTGGTTTGTAGACTATATTTATATGTGAAGCTTTAGTCTTTAAACTATATAGGTTATTAAGAATTACAGGTTAATAGTTACCCTGCTCTGGAATACTTATGTTAGCTATGTTCTCTAGATACTCAGAGATACATATCGTACAGATAGGTAATCTTTAAACTCTGCAAAGACCTATCAAAATATGGCATTTAAATGTTTTAACAACTTAGAATTCTGTTGATGTGAGACATTACTGCTCCTGACAGCACTGATCTACTCTGAGAGAGTGATGGGCACTGAAGACACTCTATATGGAACTTTTTTCTTCTTGGTAAAGCTGGCCTATTGGGCAAAGAATTGTCCTTGCCTTCACTGCTGACAATAAGCATGCTGTCCAATCCAGACAAGCAGGATACAAGGAAAAGCAACTGCTGAACATTGTCAAGACAGGGTAGGACAGTCTTTCAAAAATTCTTGCTTATGAAAATGGTCTTGTCAGATATTCCAGGCCTATAACTAAGGTTGGTTGCCCCAATGTTACAGAGAAAGGTTGGGTGAATATCCAGGCAGCCAGCTGTTTCTGTCATTTCTTGCATCTTTTGGAGGTTGCTTGCTTGCACTTCCTGCTTACTCAGGTAATATTATTTTCATTCTCAGGTCTTTGATGGGGTTGAAGATTAGATAGTTACAGATACCACCCTCTCATATCTTAGCTAGGGCATATTAGGTACAAGATGTAGACTTTCCAGGTTAGGACACCTATTGCAATAATCTCTGTAATTTGCCTATTACCTATGGCCTGGACATTTAGTATGTATTTCTTGCTTGATGTTGTCCTTATTGTTTGTAGTTTCATTTTTGTTTATGTTATTATCTTTTCTTTCTTCTGTACAATACTTAGTAGTTGTTCTTATTATAGATAATTTTATGTTAGGATTACAACCTTCTTATTTAGAAAAATAAAGGAGAAATGTTGTGGAATTTCGATCCATTTAGTTAATGACTTTTAGGGCAGTAAGCCCTAGGGCGTGGTCTTGTCTGCATATGTGACTGCTTAAGAGCTGAGGAAGAGGGGCAACATGTTTTTGCTCTCACACTGTCTCTGGAGTGATTGGAGTCAGAGCAAGGAATGGTTGGTTGGTCTCTGGGCAAAAGAGCAGGACAAAGCAGCTAGATCATGGTGGCATCTAATCTGTTCTGTATCAGTGAATGTTTATCCCTATCTTCTACCTCTATAAATTCTTGAGACCCTTTAACAGACTCTCATAGGTTCACATAACAGGACTTGGCAATGAGTAAGAGTCACCCAGAGGTATGAGTTTTGAAGGCATGAAGGGGCCATGGAAAACAGCTGAGGCTTTGTGCTGTGAAAGGTCAGGAGAGGCTATTGATAAAGTGGCAGCCTCACTGGCAGCTGAAGGCCCAGGATTGAAGGGTAATGCAGACATGTTGAGACTTGGCACCATGAAGAAGGCATAGGGAAAGTTATTGGTGCAGCCCGATTGCAGTAGAAGACCCCAGAATTTTGGAGATGGCAGTACCATGGGATGACCTCCAAGGATAGTAGCAGCAGCAGAGTGGAGCCATCATAGAAGAAGCTGTGTGTTGGGGGGGGCAGAGGCAGAGCTGGAGAAGTGATCCAAGCCCTTTGGAGGGGCCCTGAAAAATGTGAATAAGCCCCAGATGTTAGACACTGAGTTATTTACACTGTTGCAGCTTGATTTTGCTTTGTGTAGATTGTGACTGTGCCCTGATTCTTCCCTCTTGACATAGGAAAATATTTAGTTTATTTTTGATTTTATAGGAGTTCATGGCTGAGAGACTAAACTTTTTTTGAAAAAAAGATACTTTGTAGTTTTATAGAGTTTGGATTTTAAAAGAGACTGGATACACACACACACACACACATATATATATATAAATATAAATTATATATATATTTGATTTTTCAAGACAGAGTTTCTCTGTGTATTCTTAACTGTCCTGGAACTCTTCCTGTAGACCAGGTTGACCTCAAACTTACAGATGTCCATCTGCTTCTGCCTCCCTAGTGTTGGAATTAAAATTATGCACCAACATTGCCTGCCTGAGACTGGATATTTTTAAAGAGACAATTTTTAAAGCGTTTGTAAGGCTGTGGGGGTTTTTAAGTTTGTGAAAATTTTATATTATTGTCTTTATTAATGTGTAATCTTGGAGACAAACAAGAAATGGAAGGTTGTGGCTTAGCAACATGTGATTGTGTGCCAAGTTGACAAGGGGTCAACTATCCTGGCTAGTTTTATGTCAACTTGACACAAGCTAAAATTATCTGAAAGGAGAGAAACTCAATTGAGAGACTGCCTTCATATGATCCAGCTGTAAGGCATTTTCTTAGTGATTAATGGTGGAGGGCCCAGTACTTTATGGGTGGATCATCCCTGGGCTGGTGGTCTTGGGTGCTGTAAGAAAGCAGGCTGTGCAAGCCATCATGAGCAAGCCAGTAAGCTGCATTCTTTCATGGCCCCTCCATCAGCCCCTGCCTCCAGGTTTCTGCCCTATTTGAGTTCCTGTCCTGACTTCCTTCAATGATGGACAGTGATCTGGAGCTGTAAGCCAAATAAACCCTTTCCTCCCCAACTTGTTAGTGGTCATGGTGTTTCATTGCAGCAATAGAAACCATAGCAGGTAGGAATAGAGGGATGCTGTCCTCTAGCCCAGTGTCCAGAGGAGAGTGAGAAGTTTGGCATTTGCTCCATGTCCATGCTAAATGAACGTAGGGTACCCTCAGTTGATTACCAAACCTGAGGAATAAACCCTTCTTATTTCACACACACACACAAAAAAAAAAGATTCCTGGAAATGTTCGCATGATGTTCTGCTTGCTTGTGGGCCACTCGGGATGGACCAAATGTTTCCTGTGCATTAATCTAAACCATACCTTCATCTTATCAAGTACATGTAATTCACTCTTTGTTGCAGATAAAGAAAATGAGACACTGAGCTACTGAGAAAAAGCTGTAGGCCGTGCCTCCAAGGAGCTGGAGCTACTGTGGAATCAGGTCGTGTGTCTGCTTACCTCCCAACTACTGCTGGCCTAAGGCGACAGCTAAAGGTTTGAGTTTCCTTTTTTCCTCTCCTCGTGACTCGTTTCAGCCTGTGCTAAAGATTGGAGGTTGCGTCTTTGTTGTAAGTGTGTCAGATCAGGAGCCCAGGACCCTTTGGATCATAGATAAACTGCAAAATTGTCTGAATAGATGCAACTATTTGTTGGTGCAGACCCACATTCTAGCAGTCAAAATATATATTCTTGAACCTTCACTTGGGGCTTGCCTATGTGTCTTGTTTAGCAAATAATATGCCATAAAAACAAGGACACTTGTCTAGAAGCTAACCAGCATAGAGCTCATCTGATAACATGGGGAAACTATTAGACAACTGACCACAGTTGGGATTTTTTTGTCTGTGTTTCATGATGGCCCATAAAAGCCAAGCCTTCTAGTTTCTTGATTGTTTGCTGAGTCAAGCTATTGGGAGTCATTGATTAGAGAATGGACCAGAGAAGGAGGGAACAGGGGATGAAGGGACCTCTCTTCCCTCAGGTAGGGAAATCTATGGAAATGTCAGCATTGGCCCACTCCAAGCAACCCTGCTTCTGATGCATTGCCTACATGAAATCTTGGCATGAACCTAGCTTCCATTGGTAACACCATCTCCAGTCCTAGAGTTGGGGGTCACTTCCTGCTCTTGCTGTCTCTGGATTGCTAAACAATCCCCTCTCAGAGTTTCAGGTCCTCCAGTTAATTTTATCACTATATATCTAGTATGCACACATGAGACAAAAGACCACAGAGAAACTGGGTCAGACCTTAGGGTTGCAAGCTTCTCCTGAGAGTTATTCCTGGTGTAGCTGGTTGGCTTGATTTGAGTGGACGCCTCTAGGCTCCACGTGTAACAGCCACTAGCCTCACTGCCATGGAGACCAGACCTAGTATAGCCCAAGTTACTGGAAAAGAGGTTGTTCCGGGTCACCTTCCTTTTATGCAAGTCATCTAGAAACGCCTGGTTTTCAGGCATTTTTGTTATAATTCAAATGCTGTCATAAAATATCTTCATCACAATAAAAATGCAAAGTATAGAGCTATGGTTCTGCACCATGTCACAAAGGGATGCAGAGACATCATTCAAAATGCGTTTGGGCCACTTACTGCACATGCGCTCACAGGCTGATGGGAAGTTAAAAATAGCACATTCTATTAGCAGAGAGAAACAGGAAAGTCTTCCCTAACCAAATAAGTGCCTTCTCCTTGTCCTTATTTTATAGACACGAGCCCCCTCACCAAACTCGGGGCAAACTTGAATTTTCCCAGCAAGTGTCAGGACCTAGCAGTAACTAGCTGCAATGTGAGGGTACCCAGCAACCTGCAAAGACCTAAATATGCTGTCTCCATATGACCCCTGCACACTTGCATGTCTTTAAGTGGGCATAGTACAGGGCTTCCTGGGTCACAGAGGACTTCTAATATAAGGAGATATGCCAGTATTGGAAGCTCTGGTCACTGAGACACTTTGTAGAACGTTCAACTTCTACAAAGTAGAAGGATGACTTGGATCCTGTTTTCTTTTAAATGAAAAACAGCTTGTTTTTATTACAAATGGGGAGCTCAGATGCTCCAGAAGCAAGAGACTTGCCTCAGCTGGAGGTCTTTAACTTGGGCTTGGGGCAGTACTAGAGGAGCAGAGGCAAGTTCACTACCTTGCACTGAAATGGAAAGACAAGTGCTGGGGAAATCGTGTTCCAGCCCATCCTGGACTGATCCAGGTGATGGAAAGGCTCAGTTATATATGTATGAAACTCTACAAAGAAGTTTCCTGCATTGGACAACTGGGCATGAGCTATAAACTACATCATAGGATGTTAAATGAGTCAATGCACCAAATATCAGGAAAAGGCAAAGAGAGATAAACAGACTCAATAGGTTGGGTTACACAGTAAAACTTCAGAATTTTAGGTCGAATGCAGTCTGCCCTGCAGCCACGCCTGCCGCACAAAGCCACCTTAGAGGCTCAGCAAATGACAAGCATGGCTGTGCTGTGACCGAACTGTAGGGAAGGCTGGATCCAGTCTGCAGCACCCAGCTGCCACGCCTGGGTCAAGCAGCCCCCTGTGTTTAGTTTCTCCCCACCTCCCACCTCCCAACTTCTCAACCACCTCTTTTCTGGGCCCAGGACTTGTGACTCAGCCCAAGCCTTAATTTTGGAACACCAGCTTTTTAAGGCCAAAAATAGCTTGCTGGAGGGGTTTAAAATACATAGTCATCTGCACAGTAAGTGGAGATGGGGGGGGGTGCTCACAGAACATTTGTAAGCAGAGTCACAGTCGTCTTCTTGGTGAGTGAGTGTGTGTGTGTGTGTGTGTGTGTGCGGATTTAGATTCACAACCCTATATAGAAAATGACACAGAAAAGGGAACGTAGCTGCGGATTTCACTGAGCCGGGATAGAAGCATAAACAACACGTTTGCATCCCACCCCTAACTTCTTCCAAACACTCATATTTCTTTGCGCTCATCACGCTAAGTTTCTGAGGGAGTTTTGAGGGATCGTGGTGGAAACAGCTGCTGACCATCGTTTATAAACCTGACTGGTTGCAGACTTCAGCTTTGCACTGGTTTAGATCTTACATGTCTCCCCAAACCCCACATGTTTAAGGCTTAGTCCGCATGCAGGTAGGGTTGGACTGTGATGGGCCTATTAGGATTTAGTGACAGGTGGAACGTCCTTGGACGTGTGACCTTGAGGGGAATAGTGGACCCTGATACTCTCCTCATTTTTTTTTTTTTTCTGGCCATGAGATGAGAGGTTTTACTCCAGTGTGTGCCCCTCCCTTGATCAACCATCCCTCTATAGTCCCAAAGCGTGGGCTACTCGTAGACTGAACCTGACAGCAAGTTATTTTGATCATTCCTTATAGTAGACGCTAACTCACACAGGCCCATGCAAGCTTACCTGTTCTGTTTTATAAAATCAACTGATGCCCTCAGCCTGAGGAAAAGTAGCACCCAGAATGCCTGGGCTTGGCCTCAGAGTATACCATGGCTGTGCCTGTTGCTTCACCAGGTCCCTGCCAGAGTGTCATATAGTCAAGCTGCTCTGAGGATAGTAGCTGCTAGAAGATGTGTCTGTCAGTTTGAGCTGAGGATCAAGTTGAATGTTCTGGGATGGGAGGCACATCAAACATCTGTGTGGTCTGAAGTTGGATGGCAGAGAATGGATCATCTTTTGTGAGGTTAATCCATGAGGAAGCTAAAATTAGTTTTCCTAGGGGAAAAAAATCATACGATTTTGTATGTTCTCCACTGCAGTCTGCAGAGGGGTCACCTTGAGACAGATGAGTCAGAGTCTGTAATGGGTCTGTGCAGAGTAGCAGCTTCATCTCAGAATCGTGAAGATAGTTGCACCCTGAGGTTAGAGCAACTGAGTTGACATGCTGAAAATCGTGGATTACAGAATAAAGGGCAAAAACGTAGACTGCGCTCTCCTATGGGTCACATGATCATTCTAGATGAAAGTCAGCAACTATAGGATGGTCTTGACCCCTGGAGAAAAGTTCAGGGCCGCTGAAGAAAATGCTTCCCTTTGCCAAAGAGTCAGGTGGTGAGAGTCATCCAGGGCATCAAACCCAAGACTGCAAAGGTTGCCTGCCGAGGAGTCAGAAAGTCATCTGCACTCTTTGGATCAAAGGCTTTACTCTTCAAAAGTGGTTAACAACACCATGGCAACAGTAAGAAATGGGTCCTGATTCAAAGTGTCCCACAACTGAACCAAGGCCACTGGCACCGAGAACAGCTTCTTACAGAGTAGCACAGTCCCTTTGTTCTCTGCTCTGCCCCTCTGCCATGAGTGGACGTGGTCTGATGTAAAACGAGTCCCCAGGAGAAAGCTTGCTCTTAGACTCGCTGGTCTCCAGAGCTGTGCACCAAGTCAACTTTTATTCTCTCTAAGTTACCAAGTCTGTGGGATTCTGTCGATGGCAACTGGAAATGAACTAAGGTCTGCATGGCCAGCATAAAACCTGTAATTGCATTAGGCTATAGCCTGATACCTGTTTCTGGCACCCAGATGCACCCAACCTGAGTTGAAGTGTAAGCCGTGAGTCATGGAGAAGCAGGAATAGCCTGAACTCAATTATATAAATATTTGGTCAACAGCATTTATTGAAACAAGCAGTTTAAGCACAAACCCTGCAAAGCACCACTTATGTTAAAATGCCTAATGACTATGTCATTATCAGCCCTTTAGCCCATGATGTGCAACAGATGCTAATTCATGTCTCTCATCCAGCTGTGATTTTTGTGCCCGTTAACCAGCCTTCCTTCAGCCCCCTCATTCTTCAGGAATGACTATTACACTCTCGACATCTAAGATCCATTTTTTATCAGCTTCTGTCCCTGAGCGAGAGCATGAGGTGTCTTAGGTAGGTTACTGATGCTGTGATAAAGCCCATGTCCAAAAGCAACTTGAAAAAAAAAATGGTTTATTTTCATGTATTACTCTTGGGTCACACTCCGTCACCGAGGGAATTCGGGGCAGGGACTCAAGGCTGGAAGTAAAACAGAAGGGGCTGTGGAGGAGTGTGCCGTTTAGCGGTGTGGTCCTCATGGCCTGCTCAGCCTGCTTTCTTACACACCTGGGATCACTTATCCAAGCCTGGCATCAACCCCAAGTGAGTTGAGCCCTCCATGGGCTTGCTTACAGGCTAATCTTAGGGACTTGTTTTCCCAATTAAGATACCCACTTCTCAGAGGACTCTTGGTTTATGTCAAGTTAACAAACACCAACCAGCCCATGTGGTGGCTGTGTCTTGCTCATCATAACGCCCCCCCAAGGCATTTCTATACCCCCACAAAGGGCAAAATTTTATCGTATTTAGGGACGACTATTGTTGCACACATACCGAATGGTCCTTATATGTCATACTTTCATGGCCTCATAGGCTGAGTCTATATTCTGGCTATTGTAAGATAATAACGTGCTGTGATAAAGACGCTTTCCAAAGGGTAGCTATGGCTGTCTCATGTGGTATTCTGAGGTTCCTCCCCCACTGTCTGGAGGC